TTCCAAGTACCTGAAGTCCTCCAACTGAGGACAGATAACTCAAGGTCCACAAATCATTTAACAGTGTATATCCTGCTATCTATCTTCAAGCACTGGGTCCTAAATCAACTGGTCTATAAGGAAAAAGCAGAATGCCCATGGGCCTATCCTCCTGGGATATTAGATCAAATGTTAGCAGAGATTAATTTAGGACTTGACATGCTTACTCCTCTCACACTAGGACCTCAGAGAGCATGTTACTACATGTTACTACAAATTACTAGGTATTCCTTTGAATGATTCTGGATGAGAGGGCATGTAAACTGGAAGAAAAAGTAACATGATTCAGTGGACTGAGCACAGATTGGTAACAAGAACAGTTAAATTGTATCTACTATTTCACTGGTTACTCAACACTTATGAGGTTAAAGTAAGGTTAAAGGCTAGACATCAAAAAGGTTTTCCCATTATTATTACTTGATTTTTAAGTTTAACTAGACAAGCAACCAAATAAGGATGTGTTTTTTTTTTTTTTGTTAGAAGACAACTGTATCAGGGCCATGGATATAGCTCAGGTCTGCCTGGAAAGCATGAGGTCCTGAGTTCAATTTCCAGTACCAAAAATAAGTAAATAAACAAACAAAGGACAACTGTATAAATAAAAGATATTGGGCCTTGAGACACAAATCAGATCTCACCTTCAAAAAGTCTCATATTATAATTGTGTTTTATTTCTAGTAAGACTTAAAAAAAGTTCTAACCAATTAATCAGTCAGATTATACAAGAAATAGAAGCCACTATACACTCTTAATTTTGAAGTCTTTTTTTAACAAAAAGTATTATTTTTAATACTTCCTAATTACTCAAATTAATCTACTGTGGTCTCCATTATCTCTGGAGGTTGGGTAATGATAACAATGAAGCTAAAGCAGTGACCATTCCCTCCGCAAAGCTGCCTAAAATTGCTGTGGTCTGTATTGCTCACTCGCTTTTTCTCATCGCTTTCTCTTATTTTCTCATCATTCCAGATTTTTGAAGAAATCCTCACTATAATTCTGCCAATGTCCTTTTGTGTAGCCCACCAGCTCTGCATGCGATGCTACAATAAAAATTAAAAGTAAAGTTAGCTATTACCATTGACTATTTTAACTACCTTAACTTTAGGGTCCTATATGAACTAACTTTGCTCATAAAAAGAAAACAGGGTTCTGATTCTTGTCTTGATGAAAATTATACTTTAGACCTTAAATAGTCTAAAAACAGTAATTTCCTGCTCACTTTAATTCTCTAGTTTGAGTTTTCTAATTTACAGCATTGTTTGTCCTCTCTAAATATTTCAAATTAACATCATTTAACGCAAAGTGGTCAAATTAAAAATTTTACAAATAGTAAGAAAAAATAGTAAGAATTTCTATTCACAACACACACATTATTAGGTATTTCTTCACAATAATATGACTTTTAATATACCATTAAGAATTCCAGCAGCTTTTCTAATAAAGTGGTATCTTGGCTCATGAACTTAATTCTTTCTGAGATTCTGGTTGCAAACAGAATCAAATTTCCACATAAGATCAACACTAAAACTAACCAATGAATTTGATACAGTTCATGCCCAACTCAGTTTGCAATTAGAATTGTGCAAAGAATTATGTTTATGATCAAGGTACTACTGTATATCAAAAGACATAAACTACCAGCTGGGTCAGAGACTGGTCTTCTAAGTTAGTATACCTTAAAAAATATTCTCTTTGTAAGATTAGCCATGATTTTTTAAAATTTTTTTTATTTTTTTGCAGAACCGGGGATTGAACTCAGGTTCTTATACTTGCCAGGCAAGCACTTATTCTACTCAGCCATCTCCCCAGCTCTAGCCATGATTAATTTAAAACCAGAATTCAGATATTTTAAACATGAGAAAACTTACTAAATGTAACAGAACACAAAGTACTTAAGATACCTACTTTGGGCCTGGTGTCCACAACATACACATAGCAATTGGCTGGATTGGCTTTACTAATGGCTTGAAGCAAATTCTCATCCTCCAGGCACCTGGCACTGAATCCTGACAGTGGCTGACTACATCGACAAATGGCAGCCTTATTTTAAAAATAGAGAAAATAGATTAGATTACAAAAAATACTTCTCAAAAACACTTAAAAGGAATAACTCAAAAGTGATAAAATCAAACATGCAATCTTTTTAAAAGTTAGGAAGACAATAAGAAGGCATTAACTTTGAAGTCCTATTTGAATTAAATACTATTTCAATATCCTGTTATTCCCTAAGTTTTCCCAATATTCAAGAAAACTAAATGTCTCCTCAACTAGTTTGATGAGAAAAAAATCCAAAAACCAAAATCTAAACCTTAAGAGCTGGGTATGGTGGTTAATCCTGGTAATCCTAGCACTTTGGGCTAAAGCAGGAGGATCACAAGCTTGAGCTCATTCTAGGCAACTTAATGCCCTGTCTCAAATTTTAAAAAGACAGGGGTGAGAGGTGTTGATGTAGCCCAGCGCAGTCTCTGGCTCAATCCCTAGTATTACCTGTCCCTCCTCAAAGAAGAAACATTCAGATTTTTAGGAAGCAGCACTTGGTCGATTCTCTCAGTTAACCTACATTGTTACTTACATCTTGTGCTCTACTCGGATTATGGGATACTCTGAACTCAATTCAATCAAAAACAGTTAATACATGCAGAACACGACTTTGTACAATAGTAATACTTGAACTTTTACTTTCCAAAGGCTTTCAGATTTCTAATTAGAAATCAGCAAACTTTATATAAAATGAGACTTGGGGCCAGCAAGATAGCTCAGTGGTTTAAAGCGTCTGCTTAGGCAAGCACAGGGACCATGGTTCAATCCCCAGCACCACATGCTGCACCAGCCCCACTACCAGGGTGGGCTGTGCCTGCCACAAAATAAATACATAAGTAAATAAATAGATACATAAATAAAATGAAACTTAAAATGTGAAAAAAATAAGCTTCAATTCAAAATTGGATTAAAATACAGTCACTCTAAGAGGTCAAGAATATCTGTAAGTAGCTAATAGCTAAATTTGGTATTTAAAATGCTTAAAGTCCTAAAAATGACTTAAAAGACTTAGACATACTTTTTTAAAAATCTCATCCATTCCACATCCAACTTAACATTCTCCTAAACACTCCAAATATAATTTTATTAAGGAAAAAAATGTAAATACAAATAAACATTTTAGATTTTTAAATTCACACAATATAAAACCACAAAAATTTAAAATGGCAGAAATGATTGTTGTATTAAATTCTTTTCACACTTACTTTCCTATTTCTGTAGGTATGTCAGTGAATATCAATTTTCTGTCCAGCTTTATAATCAACAATGTATACAGAGGCCATAATGAGATAGCTTCCTTATATGACTTAATTATGAAAAGCAGATTAGAAACTTCTGTTTAAACATCTTTTGTTTCTCTGCTTCATGCTTCAAATTCCAATGAAAAATTCTCACAAACACATTTAAGATGCATAAAGCCAAAAGGACAAAAAGAATGGAAAAGGGGACAGTCCAAATGTCAACAAAACTTACGGAGATAATAACAGATTGTCCAGTGATAACTGATGTACAAGGGAAAAAAAAAAGCTTCCAACTTCCTTAAGTCAATAAGAAGATATTTTGAACAGAAAATGGAAGGGCGGCTCAAGAGTCCATATCTCTGAAAGATACTCTGAGGAGCATTTACTCTGAGGAGTAAATGCCTACATAAGGACTACCAAAATAAGAACTAAGTAGAAAATAAGCCCTGCAGATCTTTCAGGGTGCTCATTAAGCCCTCTACCCCCCAAATAAGCCCCGATTAAGAGGCTTAGTCACTGTAACACATAATGGACATATTGAATTATAAAGTGATATTAATATATAACAATATTTAATTTATTAAATATAAATATTAAACATTAATACTTAACAACAAATTATAATTATTTGGAAATATTCAAGCAGGGTCTCTGCATGACAAACACCTATGTAAACAAATGACCTGGAGATTTATTGCTGAATGACCAGAGTACAGATGCAATGCCCAAATAATATGCCCACTCGACAGTGAATAGGTCTCACTTGAATCTTCATAATTCAATACACTGTGTGTAGTAGCAGGAATATTTAACATACTCGTATGAAAGCAACTATTTCTGAAATCTGGTGCCTGCAATTCTTCACTTTTGTGTCACCGCTGTCGCCATTCCTGTCTTGTGAGTCTTCAATGAACACTTTTAATGGAAACTCTGTGAAGCTGGCCTACAAGAGGTCGTGACTTTGGTGAAGAGCTCATGGGTTGAACTCACAGCTGCTGCACTGCCAGTGCACTTGAATGGCCACATGGACAAAGGGCACTTGGGTAAGGACAGCTCCACTGCCAGACATGAGAGGTTGGGTAAGGGAGTCACAAGACATTCAGGCTGGAATTTGGGGTTTGACAGTTATGACAGTATAAGATAGCATGAGCATATTTGAATAAATGTAGATTTTTGTATATAAGTGTGAACTGTTCTACATGAACAGGACATTCCCAGAAAATAAGCTCTAATGCATTTCTTAATGCAGCAAAAATATTAAGACCTGGTCTTATTTCTGGAAAAATGCAATAGTTAAGGTTTCCAGATGTTCTCTTACTCTGAAGACAGAGCTTATTCTATGAAGAAGAGTAACTCAAAGACTTTGGACAGTTCATATAGCTATAAAAGAATGAAGAAAAGAATGAAGCCACACGCCCTGCATACCAACCCCCCCCCAAAGAAAATCCCCAGGATTAAATACAGTTTACATAACAAAAGAAGAGTTTCAACCATCTCTCTTAACTGTGCTTGGATTATAGCCAGTCTTACTATAAACACATTGGCAAAAAAAAAAAAAAAAAAAATCACAAGATTTTTTCCTTTAAGGAAACTATTACAGTTTGGATCTGGAAGGTACCCCAAACACGTGTGGTGAAGGCTTGGTTCCTTACACAGCAGTGCTCAGAGGTAAAAATGATTGGATCTTGAGAGCCGTAACCTCATCAGCACATTAATCCACTGATGGATTCAACATTAGATGGTATCACTGGAAGGTGCTTGAAACTTCAGGAAGGAGTCACAGTGAAGGAAGGTCACTGCAGCATGCCCTGAGACGGCACATTTTGCTCTGACCCCCCTCCCCTAATTCTGCTTGCCAGCTGCCATGAGATAAGACCTTTCTGCTGCCATAATGGCTCTGCCTTGCCACAGGCCTACAAGTAATGCAGCCAGCTAACCATGGACTGAAACCTCTGAAATCATGAGTCAAAATAACTTTTTTAAGTTAATATTCTCAGATATTTATTAATTATGTATTCGGTACAGGGTCTCACTACCAGCTCAGATTTGAAATGATCTTCCTATTTTCAGCCTCCCCAGCACTGGAATTACAGGCATGTACCACCATGCTCAGTCCTAGTGGCTGGCTCAGTGGGCCCAGGTGCAGGGCTGGTGCTGCAAGTAGTGCCGGGGATCAAACTCTGGTCCCTGTGCTTGCCTAAACAGGGGCTTAGTCCACTGAGCTATCTTGCCAGCCCTATTCTCAGCTATTTAGTCACAGCAACAGAAAGCTAACACAGAAATCATCTTACATAATAGAAAGCAAAGACATTGCATATATACAAACTTCTAAAGAGCTCAAACATGATGGGCCCTCTAAATGAAAGAAAGAAAAAAGAAACTGGGGAAAAATAAGTTATGTGGGAAGTATAAGACTTCTTATAAAAAATTCTTATCCTCAAGAGAACTAAGATACCCCATCCAACAACAGAAAACAGATTAAAACATTAAAAAAATAGGAAAAGGCTCTTGAATATTAAAAATATTGTCACAAAAATAGAATTCAAGAGGTAGATTGGAGATAAAGACCTTCCAAAAAACAAAGAAATGGAAAGCATGGGTGAAAAAACAAAAATGGAGGTTAATACTAGGAAACTCAATTGTCAATTAACAAAAGGGTTTTTTAAATTCTTTTTTATTCTAAATTTTAATTTTTATTGGTAAATGATTACACAACAGTTGCATTCCTTGTGGGGACTTGGCACACATACACAACAAATCTCACTTCAATTATTTACCCTAACCCCATCCCCTCCCTCCGTCAATCTTGTGGTCCCTTTCCATTTGCAAAGACCTATTACCCAACCGGCTATGATCTATGATTTGTTCTGTTTTTTATTTACAGTATTTATGCCTTGGAATTCCTACATAAGAGAAACTTTTATCAAAGCTTGTATATATGATTTCATTTCACTTAAAATTATGGTCTGAAGATATACCTATTTTCTTACAGTGACTCAAGTTCATCTTTATGTATATAAACATTTTCTTTATCTATTCATTTGTTGATAGGTTTATAGGCAGCTTCCAAGATTTAGCTATTAAGAGCTGTGCTGCTAAAAACATAGGCATACATGTGTCACTGTAATATATCTTGATCTCTCTTGAAAGATACCAGGGAATGGCTGGGTCGAATGGAATTTGTATTTCTATTTGTCTGAGGAATCTCCATGAATTCCATAGTGGTTCTACAGTTTACATTCCCAAGAATAATGTAGAAGTGCTCCTTTTCCCTGTGGCCTCATCAGTAGTTACTATTTCATTTCTTCATAACAGCCATTCTTTCTGGAGCAAGGTAAACCTCTGTGTTCTTTTCATTTGCATTTCTCTCCTGCTGTCATGGTGTCAATATGAGAAATTTAAAGGTTAACTAAATTGGCTCAGCAATGCTACACTCTAGGGTGTAGAGGACCTACCCTAGGGCAGCTATCTGCCCTCTAAGGTATAGAGAACCTATCCTAGGGTAGCTTATCCTTGGAGATGAGGAAGGATAGATAAGCTTTTGTTTTTCAGAGGAGCTCAGTCTTCACCTTCAGCTTGCATGGCATCTTCTGGCCTCTAGCACAGTCTTTGGCTTCTGCCTTGGATCCTTCAGCCTTCCAGTGTAAACTCATCAGCCTTCATAGCAGACTCCTAAGCCTCCTGACACAGACATGCGTGAAACAGTGAGGTGAGCTCTAGACCTTGGATGGAACCTGTCAGCCTCCAGGATGCGGACAC